TTTTTTGAGACGGAGTCTAGCTCTGTCACCCAGGCTGGAGTGCAATGGCATGATCTCCACTCACTGCAACCTCCATCTCCTGGGTTCAAGCGATTCTTCTGCTTCAGCCTCTTGAGTAGCTGGGATTACAGGTACGCGCCGTCACACCCGGCTACTTTTGTATTTTTAGTAGAGATGAGTTTCACCATGTTGGCCAGGATGGTGTCTATCTCTTGACCTCGTGATCCACCTACCTCAGCCTCCCAGAGTGCTGGGATTACAGGCGTGAGCCACCACACCCGGCCTGGATGATTTTTCTTAAGGGAAAGCAAGAGACTAGATTATTGTTCTCACTTAAGTCACAGAACTAAAGGGGAGCAGCAGAGTCTTGAAGCCACCATGAAGGGGTAGAAGTCATAAAGGCAAAGGGAGATGGTTGAAACTCAAGGAATAGAAAGACCACCTGCTCATTCCTCCCCTCCTGGGGAGTCTTCTTTTACTTCTAAAACTGATTTTTCTGCTATTGATCTAATAAAGGGACTTCTGGTCTCGTATTCATCAATATCTTCTGTGCTACCATTTGGGGACCCTTGAGTTTGCACTGGAGTCAAAATATTATAGGGAACCAGGCACTGCCCTATCCACTAGGAGTGAGAGAGTTAAATGTCAAAACCTCTCTGGGACATTTTTGCAATATCTAGCAACATTTTTTATAATTGTGGTAAATTTATATATAACTTAAAATTTACTATTTTAACCATTTTAAGCATATGGTTCAATAGTATCATGCGCATTCACACTGTTGTCCTATTAGTACCGTCATCCATCTCTAGAACTTTTCCATCTTCCCGATTCTCCCTACAACCATTGGCAGTCACCATTCTACTTTCTGTCTCTATGAATTTTAACTGTTGTATTCGTGTAAGTGGCAATGTACAATATTTGTCTTTTTGTATCTGGCTTATTTCACTTGGTATAATGTCTTCAGTCTGTCCATGTTGTTACATGTGTCAGAATTTCATTTCTTTTTTATTTTATTTTATTTATTTGTTTATTTTAAGATGGCATTTCACCATGTTGGTCAGGCTGGTCTCAAACACCCGACCTCAAGTGATCTGCCCACCTCAGCCTTCCAAAGTGCTGGGATTACAGGTGTGAGCCACCTTGCCTGGCCAATTTCATTTCTTTTTAAGGCTGAATATTTCCTTTTATGCATACACCACATTTTGTTTATCCATTTGATATGGTTTGGCTGTGTCCCTACCCAAATCATGTCTTGAATTGTAGCTCCCATAATTCCCATGTGTTGTCAGAGGGACCCAGTGGGAGGTAATTGACTCATGGGGGTGGGTTTTTTCCATGCTGTTCTTGTGATAGTGAATAATGGTTTGTTTTTTTTT